TTTATCGTTTGGCAAAAGTTTTCTTTGCTGTGTCACTAAAAGGAGAAATATAATAGATGTCACCCCATATTTCTGCTTCTGTTTCTTTTATTTAAAGCAGGTTTTATTTTGTTAAACATTGCAGGGAACAGTATATTACAGCTTGCACTAATGGAATGCTTTAACAATACAGCATATAATGAGAACTTACACTGTCTACAAGTCGCCTTACACGCATAGGGTCATACAGAGTACAATACTACATTGTATTTTATTACCTTCCTACTAACTATTCAAAAATACAGAAATAAGAGATATGCTAGAGGAAAGCGCTTGATGCCAAAACATGTGAGTGGCCACCTGTCAAAGGCAGCACGTCCAGAAGTATACAGTAACAGTATCAGCTTAAAGTGTTACTAAACACAGGCCCCTGCATCTGGTCTCCCACAGTACGCAAAACATGAAAATGCAATTATTTTGGTAAATATAAACTGCTAAATACCTTTTATCATCAGACATTAGAGCAGTCATGTGATTTATATCAGTGTCCAGCTGAGCACTGGTCGAAGCTTGTAGGAGGCGTTTTCATTTGCCCCTGATTGTCCTATGAGGCTGCTGGACCCCTGGCCCTCTGTATGGACAGTGCTGATTTGCCCCGTGCTAATTACATGCATGTGTAGCTTGCTCCCAAGGCTCTGGTCTATTAGCAGATGGATTGGGGACAGTAGATGAAGAGGAGGATCAGAGAAGTCCGGATCAAAATCCTTTTTTTTTACACAATGCAGAGGATTAACCCCTTAGCAGGGGCGGACTGACCATTTGGAAACTCGGGCACTGCCCGAGGGCCCGGAGTCAGTAGGGGCCCCATGAGATGCCCCTGGTACCTTTTTCATAGGCTTTTTTGAGTTTGGGCAAGGACACAGGGGCCCCATGATCCCCTATTGCCCGGGGGCCCCATGAGTTGTCAGTCCGCCCCTGCCCCTTAGGTTCCACAGTGAGTATAACAAGCATGCTTTACTGCATATACAGGCTGATTCTACCGTTGTGGGTTTAGCAACACTTTAACCATAAACCAGACCAGGCACTGTCAACTAGAAACCAACATCACCACCTTTTAAGTTTGGTAATTTCTTCTAATCTCTTACAACTGAATGTGAATAAAAAGAAGCAGAGACACCAGATAAAGCTTACTACAATTCATCTAATTTATCAAGAGTTCTCTGTAGATTTTCTGGAATGTATCACAAAGTTACTTTGAAGATGCTCATGATCTTTATCAGTTGCTCTATGAAAAGTTCCCACTCTAGATACAGTATTTTGATCACGTTGGAGTTTGGTGTGCTGCATTGTTTTATGTTTTGTAATGTTCATTTTACCTATAGTATATTTATCAGTATGAATAAAGTCAACTTCAAGTACTCAGTCTTCATGGAATAGGGAAAAAGCCACTATATCAATATGGTATTCTTAAGGCCTAATACACTTATAATTTCCCATTTGGATAGGCATTGGAGTTCACCCTCTTTTTCCCAGGGTTATGCAGACCATCTGGTATTTATTATCCAATATTCCAAGATATTATCCAATCAGAGGGAGGAGATTTTAGAGGGACATTAAATGCTCAATAGACACTGTGAATTATTTTAAATTGTACTTCCTTCCAGGTGTTGCTCAGAATTGCTTGTTTGGTTACTGCCCAGTGCTGATGTATACTGTGCCAGCTGTCCTCAGGTGTTTATTGAACTAGGGTTGCCCTTATCTTGATGTGCTCTAAGGGTATTGGAGGATCTTTATATTTAGCTTCCCTTATGGTCTGGTATAACTATGTAACTGTTCTTCTTTTCTTTGAGTTTCACAAAATCTTGGAAAATCTACTTGTGGAAACATATTCACCTGATCCATGCGTTAGCATCAGGTTTTTTCCCTCTGTGTGTAGCTGTTGGCTTCCAGCCAATCACAGAAGGGGTGCTGTCTTCAAAGTCTAGTGTGTGGGTTTCTCAATTTTGGGCATAACATCTACATGCTAGCAGCGGGACCCCCTGCCTTGTACTCTTTAAGCTTTTCCTGTGCCTCTAGTGATAGCCAGAATTCCTAGTTTCTTCAGTGTGTCCAGCTTCCTTCTAGTCTTTTGCTGTACAGCTTTGTGTTCCCAGTGTATCTAGCCCACTTCCAGCCTTGTGTTCCCAGTGTGTCTAGCCCACTTCCAGCCTTGTGTTCCCAGTGTGTCTAGCCCACTTCCAGCCTTGTGTTCCCAGTGTGTCTAGCCCGCTTCCAGCCTTGTGTACCCAGTGTGTCTAGCCCGCTTCCAGCCTTGTGTTCCCAGTGTATCTAGCACGCTTCCAGCCTTGTGTTCCCAGTGTGTCTAGCCCACTTCCAGCCTTGTGTTCCCAGTGTGTCTATCCCACTTCCAGCCTTGTGTTCCCAGTGTATCTAGCCCGCTTCCAGCCTTGTGTTCCCAGTGTGTCCCAGCCTGTTTCCAGCCTTGTGTTCCCAGTGTGTCCCCCAGTGTATCTAGCACGCTTCCAGCCTTGTGTTCCCAGTGTGTCCCAGCCTGTTTCCAGCCTTGTGTTCCCAGTGTGTCCCAGCCTGTTTCCAGCCTTGTGTTCTCAGTGTGTCTAGCCCGCTTCCAGCCTTGTGTTCCCAGTGTATCTAGCCCGCTTCCAGCCTTGTGTTCCCAGTGTGTCCCAGCCTGTTTCCAGCCTTGTGTTCCCAGTGTGTCTAGCCCGCTTCCAGCCTTGTGTTCCCAGTGTGTCTAGCCCGCTTCCAGCCTTGTGTTCTCAGTGTGTCTAGCCCGCTTCCAGCCTTGTGTTCCCAGTGTGTCTAGCCCGCTTCCAGCCTTGTGTTCCCAGTGTGTCTAGCCCGCTTCCAGCCTTGTGTTCCCAGTGTGTCTAGCCCACTTCCAGCCTTGTGTTCCCAGTGTGTTCCAGCCTGTTTCCAGCCTTGTGTTCCCAGTGTGTCTAGCCCGCTTCCAGCCTTGTGTTCCCAGTGTGTCCCAGCCTGTTTCCAGCCTTGTGTTCCCAGTGTGTCTAGTCCGCTTCCAGCTTCGTGTTCCCAGTGTGTCTAGCCCGCTTCCAGCTTTGTGTTCCCAGTGTGTCTAGCCCGCTTCCAGCCTTGTGTTCCCAGTGTGTCTAGCCCGCTTCCAGCTTTGTGTTCCCAGTGTGTCTAGCCCGCTTCCAGCCTTGTGTTCCCAGTGTGTCTAGCCCGCTTCCAGCCTTGTGTTCCCAGTGTGTCTAGCCCGCTTCCAGCCTTGTGTTCCCAGTGTGTCTAGCCCGCTTCCAGCCTTGTGTTCCCAGTGTGTTCCAGCCTGTTTCCAGCCTTGTGTTCCCAGTGTGTCTAGCCCGCTTCCAGCCTTGTGTTCCCAGTGTGTCTAGCCCGCTTCCAGCCTTGTGTTCCCAGTGTGTCTAGCCCGCTTCCAGCCTTGTGTTCCCAGTGTGTCACTCTGTGCACTCCTAACTGCATTCCATCTTCCTTTACCTCCATGTCTCTCTTTGCACTTCAGTTTTTCACTTTTGTCTCTGCATTAGTGTGATCCCCTGTGAGTTCCAGCCAGCCTCAGTATAAGCACCTGTGCACTCCCAGCTTGTGTTTCTTGTTTGTCTCTCAGTGTATTTCTTTGCTCTATTGCTATTTCCCTATGTACCCTTCTACCTTGGGAGTCCAGTGCCCCAGTGTTGTAAGGAAGTTTTCACCTGCTGTCAGTTGTGGTCTTCTCAGGCTAGTCTGAGGACCGCAACTTAGTTATCACCTTTAGTGTAACATCTCCACCTTGGAGAGCTGTGGTGAAGACCTGACGACATCTTAGACTCTGTGCCTTGGCCCTTTTCAGGGCTCTCATGGTTGCTAAGCGAGTGGCCGGCCACATTGTGGCTTTTACTACCATCCGCCCAGCTGCTACACTAAGTTCTGGTCAGCCATTCTACTCTTAGTTTTTTCAACAAATAAAATGCCTAATCTTCTAGTATTGTAATAAATGAGAACTCAGTATGCCATATTTATGTTGTAGAGAAGGGAAAGGCATAGGTTTGCCATGTTGGTCTAAAGAGTGTTGGATAGTTTGTGTACCCCTCTTATGCTACTGTTTGATGACCACAGAGTCAGCGCTGTAAAGTAGTATGTTCTGTTTATTTTTTTTTAGGAGGTTCATGCAGGGAGGTGTGCGCCTAGAGTTGTATTGGTGCAGCAGTTGATATTGTCTTGGGAAGGTTGGCATATTGCTTGGGTAGCTGCAATTTGACTAAGGCAAATTTAGTTTTTTTTCCCTCTCCAGATATAATAAGCTCCAGAATAAAAGCTCTGTTCAATGTATTATCAGTGATGGGATGGTCTGCATGTGATAGAGCATTCTAGCAAAACTTATCATCCAAAGTAAGTGGTACCTGTTCAACAAATATATGGGGAGACTTCCAGGCTTAAAGTGACAATAAACCCAAAGGCAAACATTTATTAGATTGCAGCTTACCGATTCTTAGATGTGACTGCATTTGTTTTCTTTTTTAATCTTTCTTGTCCAGTTAACCTGTTGTTTTTCAACAGAACAAGCTATCCTTGTCAGTTACAGGGATGAGACAAACCAATTGACACTGGCAGAGGTGCTTACATCGGTCAGCTTTTATTTGTTCATGTAAAACCTTTATCCCAAAAGGAAAAAACTGTTTGCTGTAACTGCTTATAAAGTATTAGCTGGTGTTTTGATTCAATTTGTTAATTTATTTGAATATGCTAGTGCATCTATAGGTAAAGTTGATCCAGGGAATATCTGATGGACTCTTGGGAGATTAGTAAGGATTTTTTTCCCCACACTGGAGCAAATTGGATCATGCTTTATTTTTTTTTTTCATTCCACTGGATTAACTGTGGGAATAGGATTGTGTATATGGAGGTTTGCGTGTGTGTTTTTTTCTCTTTATGAGTTGAACTAGATCAGCGGTTCTCAACCTGGGGGTCGCGACCCCTTTGGGGGTCGAACGACCATTTCACAGGGGTCGCCTAAGACCATCGGAAAACACATATTTCCGATGGTCTTAGGAACCGAGACACCGCTCCTCTGTCTCAGGGGATGTGTGGGTGGGATGATATGCTGCCCCTGTCATCTGGCCACACCTCCGGGATCACTCAACAGCTCCGCCTCCTCGCCGCTGATTGGCCACCGGAACTGTAGCTCAGGAGAGGCACACAGGGGGCCAATCACCGACGAGGAGGTGCAGCTTGGAGAGGAGGAGCCGAGTGGCAGCGCGCGTAGATCAAAGAAGATCGAGGGAGCTGCCGGAGCAAGTGAAGAGGAGAGCGGCCAGAGAAGGAAGACAGCTGACAGGTAAGTGCAAATTTTGCTGCTGCAGCCAGGTATGCAAGATATGTAATGTAATGTAATGTAATGTATGTAAGATAGGAGAGGGAGGGAGCAAGCCCAGGCTGGAGCAGGGGTCAGCAAGGTAAGTATCATTGGTGTCAGTGGGAGGAATAGTGCCCCATCATTTGTGTCACTAATACCAACAATGGGGCACTATTTCTCCCACACATACACTGGAAGCCTAATCTGACTCTAGCCTTTGCTGGTTATCAAGCCCTAGTCTAAAACTATAGAATCCCAGACCAGAAGGGACAAGGTTAACTATAATAACAGGAGCTGCATATACAGTAACTAAAATGAAGAAAAAATTGTGTTGTGCTGTATCTTTAAACCAAAAATAATAAAAACAAGATGTCCATGCCCCTTAAAGACTTCTGTGTGGATGAAACATGTAGGGAGGAGCTATAGTGGTAACACCATCATTCCCTCTCCCTTCTCAGAGCAGAATGGTGTTTCCATGTTTGTTTTCCCTTGACATTTGTGAGTACCTTTTAATATTAAAATTAAACAGAGTTTTAGGATACTAAAACATTTCTAAATTGTTCCATTTTGGTCTGTTCAAATATATAATTGAAAGTGTTTTGTTTTAATGGTTTGATTAAGGCAAACAAAATACCTGTTGATCTTGCCAGAAATCTCATCAGCTGATAATTTCCTATTCTTCTGGATTGTACTGCACTCTTTATCCATTTCATTGTTTTGGGCACTAAGGAACCCTGCTCATCTATGTTTTGGAGAAGGGGAGGTTTCAGTAGTTGTGTCCTGCTTCTGTTGTCCTTATACAGTAGGCTTTGTGAGTGTTGTCATCTTGGACCAATAAGTAACTTACTAGGAGAATCCCCATTTGTATGTAAAGAAAAGAAATCGTGAAAAAAAATGCAGTCACCTCATTTAAGGGATAGAAACCTGTAATATATTACATTTTTGGTTTTGGGTTTAGATAAACTTAATTGGCTTTGTACATGCATTTACCAAACTTTGTATTGTTTCCCTTCAATCTGAAGGTTGTAAGTAACATTTCAATCACAGCATACCACTGACCACATTCATTTCCACTCTGAGCATGGATGTTGGAATTCCCGGATGTGGAACCAGCCTTAGAAAGCCAAGCACAGAGTGCCCTTGTAGCTTGTAACCTGAGTAAAGGGAATTCTGTTTCTACTGATGCTTTACTGGCTGGTCTTTACAAAGGACCCTCTAAAATATTCTGCTTCATATCCCAATGTATTCCTCATTCTTCCTCTTGATTTTGTTATATTTATTCTTTCCAGCAGCATGGGTTGCAGGAAATGAATTTAGTGAGTGATAGTAGGGAGGATTGTTTAAACTCCGATTTTAAAAATATGACAGTTTCACATTTTCGCAACCTGGTTTATGGGATAGCCACAACCAACCAGGGGGGTGTACTAGTGTTTCTTTTAACTGGTCCTTCCCAAGTGCCCCATGATGAAACCGACCAACAATCCTCTCCACCTCATTGCCTTAATTCCCCTCCACAGCTCCCTGTTGAGAGCCAGTTTTCCTTTCCCCACCCCCATTCCACACACATTTACCCTCTTCCCCACCCTTCCACGATGCCCCATGTTAATATGTCTGACTAAAGTTTTAATTTGTTGGGCAGCTCAGCTATTCTAGCTCTTTTCTTCTTGTGGACTCATTCACATGGCAGAATCAATTCTGCATATAGTGTTGTGCACATCTACTGAAAATTCAACAATATCTCCAATTGGAGGAGAGGAAGGAGGGAGGAGGCATGGCAGAGGAACCCTTGAAATAATTATCAGATGTCAGGGGTCCCCCGCTAAAAACTAGCATACAGTTAGGTCCATATATATTTGGACAGAGGCACAATTTTAGTTTTTTTTTATCAGGTATTTACCAAAACATATTCAAAACAAACTCTCAGGTTAAATTTGCGAGTATGTACATCCAAATTGGAGGAAGGGTTTAGGAATTACAGCTCTGAAGAGTAGCCATCCCCCCTTTTTCAAGGGACCAAAAGTAATTGGACAATTGAATCAAAAGCTGTTTCATGGCCAGGTGTGGGCTACTCCTTCGTTTATTTCTTCATCAATTAAGCAGGTAAAAGGTCTGGAGTTGATTCTAAGTGTGGTATTTGCATTTGGAATCTATTGCTGTGAACCTATATCATGTGTTCAAAGGAGCCTGTGTCCAAATATATATGGACCTAACTGCAGCTACAGCACCATGTGCTTTACTGTGAAGACTAAATTGTACATATAATATTAAATAAAAATATAAGGACAGAAAAACAGTAAACATTGTAGGCTCCCCTCATACAAGTAATCAGGTCCATATAGTCAGTGGTGCATTTTGGTTGTGTGCCACCCTAGGCAAGAGTAAAATCGCAGGGGGGTTGGGGAGAGAGAGAGATTCCAGTACTCACTCACTGGCCACCCCTGGAGCCATGATTAGGAAAGCCCAACGTCTTCCTTCTGCACTGATCTCTGACAATGATCCAGGATAGAGAGTCAGACACCCTTGAGCAGCCTGCACTGCTGTGTCTTTGCCTCACCTGCTCCCCATCCTCAGTTACCGGCTGCCACATGTGTCACTTCTGCCAGGGGGTGGTGCCTGAAAAATGTTGTGCAGGCAAATGCCTTGTTTGCCTTGCCGTAAATACACCCCTGCATATAGTACACCCTTACTTGGGGGATAAGAAGGCAGGAATCCTTACATAGGAAGGAGAACAAACTTTTACATTGTGGCCCACATATTTTGTTCCTCCTAACCTTTAAAACACTGCTAAACATAGCTGCTAAAATCTACTACTCTGAGAATTAAAGACTAAACCCAGGACCCTGAATTCACTATATCTGGACTCCCGTAATACATAGCACATGGACATGCAATTATTTTAGTAAATATAAACTACTAAATACCTTTGTTCATCAGCAGTTAAAGCAGTCTTGTGACTTCTATCAGTGTCCAGCAGAGCACTGGTTAAAGCTTGTAGGAGGAGTTTTAATTCTCCCCTTATTGTCCTATGAGGCTGCAGGACCCCTGACCCTTTGTCTGGACAGTGCTGATTGGCCCTGTACTGATCACATGCACTCTCACAAGTAAAAAAAAACTCTAGCAATACATACCAAACTGAACATGTGCAGCTTGCCCCAAGGTTCTGTTCTATCAAGAGATGAGCTGGGACAATGGTAGAAGGGGAGGATCAGAGAAGACAGGATCAAACATCCTTTTACACAATGCAGACGATTAACCCCTTAGGTTCCACAATGAGTATAACAAGTATGCTTTACTGATTTTACTGTGGTGGGTTTAGTACACTTTTAAGACTCAAAATTGGCAAAGCAGTACAATGAGCTAAAATAATCCAGCAAATTCAGAAACCAGATTTTGATGAAACTACAGTAAGGTGAACTCTGATTGGCTGCCATTGGATGCTAAATCTGGCAAACAGCTTTTCGCCCTATTGATGTGAAGTGTAAATTACAGTAACAATGCTCAAAGCAGTATAATAAAACATACAGTATTACAATAAAAATAGGCTTTCATCTAAAGTCATGGTATATACAGTTGCATTCAGTTACCCACAATATGATTTGAGCTTTCATTTGCTATTGTACTCTAATATACGGTGATTTGTGTTTGCTGTGGATTACTGTGTTTTGCTTAACATCCACTAACAGGGCTGCTATTAGAAACTACGGGGCCCCATACAGCCAACCTGACAGGGTGCCTCTCCAAATAAACACAGTTTACTAGGCTTTAGTTATGAATGAACACAGTGAGTGATACTGGTCACTCATTGTGTTCATTTAAGAAAGGAAGGGACAGGTAAATGTGACATATTACCAGACCCTTCCCCTGCTCTCCATCCTGAAGGATCCTTTTGTGTGCTTGCAGCTGCCGGAGGAAAGCCGGCAGCATTGCGGCAGTAGGGGGGACAAAAGGGGGCATGGGCAGCAGGAAGAAACATATGATGCATATGGAGGGTGATGGGTGTGGGATAGGGGAGTATGCTGTAGAGAGCACCATACAGGGGATCAATTCCAGTAATTCCCCCATCCTGCCATGCCCATCACCTCCCTGCCCACATCCGGTTAACCCAGCTGTCTGGGCCCCCTGCAGGCCTGGGCCCCCTACAGGAGGACTGGTGGTACCCCCTTATCCACGGCCCTGTCCACTAATGCCAGTGCCAGTGAACTGTGTAGCACAAATAGACCCTTTTGAAGTAGAAGATTGCATTTTAGAGGGCAATATCAGAAGCTACAGCATTTCTCCATTGCAGTCCCCTGAGGTCCAGCAGTCAATGTAATTTAGTAAGCAGTACTGTGTGTAGTGATACCAGGAATATACTGAAAATAATTTCCTGACTTATGACCCAAGAAGTAGATCTGATCATTTGTCCATAAGCTTGTGTATATAAATAGCTGTGTGTATCCCTTACGTGTCTGGCATACAGCGTTCAGCCCTTAATCTCTCATAATCCCTGTTTATCAATGGGGTGAGCAGGTGGTGTCTTTGTCAAGAAGCTGGCTTTACGCATTGTGTGATGTCACACCTGGGACGGCTCAGTCATCACACACAGGTATATATATATATCTAGCTTGGCTTTCTAGCACTGAGATCTGCTAGAAAGCCTCATCTGTCCATAGCCACACACAGTCCCACCAGCATGAAGATAACACTGCTTGGAAGGTGAGTGGCCACCTCACCACTTATGTACAGTTTACTTTGGTATGTCAGGTTTCTATAGATCAGAAATGAGTTCATGTTATGTGAAATATTACACTGATGTGGAAAATATGAGAGTTGTTTATTGTGAAGGGAGTTTTCATAACATACAATAACTTCCAGTGTTTGCTTGGTCTCCAATGTCATCGGCAGGGGCGGACTGACCATTTGGAAACTCAGGCACTGCCCGAGGGCCTGGGGTCAGTAGGGGGGCACCATGAGATGCCCCTGGTACCTTTTTCATAGGCTTTTTTGAGTTTGGGCAAGGACACAGGGGCCCCATGATCCCCTATTGCCCAGGGGCCCCATGAGTTGTCAGTCTGCCCCTGGTCATGGGCTACATGCTGCTTTCCTGAAAACAGCCATGCAGTCAGAAGTCCTGACTTGCCTGTTTCAGGTCAGTGACTTACCTATTAGAGAAGCTATATGATGAGCATGAAAACCAGGGTAATGCAGCTT